CTCTCTCTCTCTCTCTCTCTCTCTCTCTCTCTCTCTCTCTCTCTCGCTCTCGCTCTCGCTCTCTCCACCCCCCTCCCTTTCTCCTCCCAATCTGCCGACAACAATCACTTTTCCGCGCTAATCATTGTCATCGGCGTCTCAGGAGATGCACGATGAGATCGACGCACACACGCACACACCAACGCGTCGTTCGTTATGCAATAATGATAAAAACGGGGAGGTGAGCAGGCCACAGGAAGTTTTCTGCTCCTCAACTCAGCGCGCCCCACACTTGGTCCGGCGACCCACGACCCAGGGGGGAAGTTGCTTTGCTTGTGTTAAACGTTCCACGGTTTCGGTCAACTCATTTAAAAGTTCAGAAAAATGTGAAGAATACAAGAGACCTGCGTGAAATTGGCTATGGTCCATTCCTGCGAGAAGCGACGATCGGAATTTATCGTTAAGCTCAACGACATTCGCGCCACTTTCAGAACGTCATCTCCTAGTCCTGAAGATGACAAAACAGGTCTTTACCGGCGCCACCTTTCTGCCGTTAAGGGGGGCGCCGAGCCACTGTGCACCCTTATAAAATCGGTGGATCTTTTAAGTCAATTTGTGATACGGCATGCATGAGACGATATGGGGCCTAAGGGGCGTTCCCGACGACGCTGCTACGCAACTATATACGGCAATAAGGCGCTGTTGCGCATTTCGTCGCTGGAGCTTTCCGGGGCAACCCGCATCGCCATGACGCCGCTGCCGTCTGCTCAAGGTGCTGAGAACATGGGGCGGATGGCGCAGAGGTGGCCTTCGCCAATACATTTCCAGGCGTTGTTTTTTTCTTTTTTTTCATTTCCATTGGTGAGTTATTCCACGAGTCGCGGCGTTTGTTTCGGTTTGTTTTGTCGTGCCTGCCCGATCCATTCGACCCATCACGAACGGAAAAGATCACATTCACGTCTGACTAGTAGAAATATATCATTTTGGCCAATTATTCGATCAAACTGATTTGTACATGGTGTAAATTTTCGCCTAAAGAGTGTGGTGTTTTGTTTTCCCATCGAGCATTTAAAACCAACGAAAATCTCGTCTGATGTGACAACATAGAAAACAATTTACTTTTCTGGAAAGTATTATATAAGTATAAGTAGTAGTAAGTACTATATAAGTATTATAAGAGATTTGCGCAGGGAAATACTTGACGCAAGGCAGCCTTTATGAAATAAATAAATACCTCAACACAGTTACGGCAAAAATTTTACGTTAGGTCCAAAAAAATCTCACTCAAGAATCGATCTAGAAAGCAGATTATACAAATTTAAGAATAGGTCTGTGTTGTAATTTTCACTCATATTTAGCTACGTAGAGGAGATAGGGGCGGGCCGAGGCGGGCAGAGCGGCCGGTGCGGCGTCGGTAGCCCAGTATTGTCGGGGGGGAGGGGGTAACGCGAAAGCAAAGCGGCTTCAGCGGGACAGCCATCCCCTCAGCGCCCAATAATGTTGCTGATTTTGTTTGTGTTTGCCGGTTTGCGCCAGGTCTCTTCCCTTTTAATTGACGTCGTATCGAGAATTACAGCTGCTGACACCTTGATATAACTCCAGTATATTACTGTTATAAGTATAAAGTGTTTCAAGGTATCATCTGCTAAAAACGTAACCTCCGGGGGGCGGGGCGGGGCGGGGTGGCGCAAGGCGGACCAGGGCGAGGCGAGTCCTTCGCGGGCGGGGCGCCGCCGGGCGGCCGTAGTCGCGAGGTATGCGGCGCGGCGTGTGGCGTGGCGGGGCGCGGCTGCCGGTGCACAAACAACCCCACCCCGCAGGGTCGGGCGGCGCGGGCGGCGCGGCGCGCTGGGCGGCTTTGCGTAGAGCGGACCATGAGGCCGGCCAGACGGTTTGTTTAGACTTGGCCGTCGCGGGCGGGGCAGACCAGAGCAGGGGCGGCGCGGCGGCGGCGAGTCCCCCACCCACGCCTAGACAGGTATTGAGACACGAACAATCGCAATGAATGACTTTTTGGATGAATGAATTTTTGGAACAATGAATTTGAGTGAATGGCTTTATGGATAAATACATTTTTGAATGCATGAATTTTTGAATGAATAACTTTGAGTGAGTGACATATTGTCTGAATGGATCTATGAATGCATAAATTGATGAATGAGTGAATGAATTGACGAATGAATGAATGAATGAATGAATGAATGAATGAATGATAATTGGGCGAGAGTTGCGTGATTGTCCATACGTGGCCCCTGCAGCGCTCGTTTCGATACCCCCGGTGTAGCTTTACATTTCCACCTACTTCACTTGAGCCCAGTTCACTTCACTGACCTCCAGCTAGCACAAAGCACCCCGGGAACTGCTAAAGACCGCGTGTGTCTGGGCCACGGGTCCCCGCCCACCCTAGGGGCCATGGCGCCACGCGGATGGGGCGAGTTGACAACTGTTGTGTCGTACGGTACGGGGGTAAAGCAAATTGCTACATTCAAAGCCCCCCGCCCCTTTTCCCCCTCCTTTTGATTCTATCGCGCCTACGCTCGATTTGCGTGCTTAGCAATTACGATCCTGTCAACACTGGACAAAAATATGACAATAAAACAATTAGTAGCCAATCATGGTCTCATATATCTGATGATCGTCTGTTCCGCCAGCGCAGTTCGTCGCGGACGGAAAATATTGGCGCGGGCGAAGGGTGAGGGGAGAGGTGGTGCGCCATGAAGCATAAAGTCCTAGAAACACAATCGCACTGCGAACCACGTTGCGGGGGAGGGGGTGGATGCGGGAGGCGGGGCGCCCAGACGGGGTGGGCGGCGCGGCACGCGGCGTCAAGTGTTTGGGGAGCTCCCCGGGAGCTCGCGGAGCGACCGCCGACGCATAAGCAGAGCAGGGGCAGCGGGGCCGGACCGGGCCGGGCCTAGAGGTGT